TTGCAACTGAAGATGAGTTAGTCTGCATTGTATCGTTATTCTTATTGCCAAATTGGATGGCTTTAAAAGAGGATTAGACAAATTCATGGAGGATAAGACTATCAATGGCTACTAATCCTGAGGCGATGTTCTCCGTCCAACTGTTGGAGTCTTCTGAATATTAGTTGCTGGAAATCACAGGAGGGGAAAATGCTGTTGCTCTCAGATGCTGCTTGAGGGATTCCCATAAAATCCAGCTGGCCATTGTGAGACCATGATGCTGGATTAGCACAGGGCCACTGGCCTGATATTTGTTAGTTGCTGTGGCAGCAGCGGCTATCTGCTCCTATCTGCTAATATTCTGGAATAATTTACAAAAAAACCCCAACAACCCGATTTTTCTTAAACTAAAAACAAAAACATAAAACCCCTGACCTTTGTGAGAGACCTGGAATGTAGGCCTCAATGTATTTATTTGTGTAGCATATGTATAAGCTTTGGCCCCAGTTTCTATGTGGAAGGGTTGGTGGAGCATGGTTTGGAAGACATCTGTTCTGCGCAAATTCACTCTGACTGGAGTGAGCTGTCAATTCGCAAGCTCTCCTCAGAGGAGAGATGTGGCAGATACTGACAGTGGTACTGAGTCAAAGTCCTGCCCATGACAACAATCATTAGCTGCAGACAACATTTCAACACAATAACCAGGTTTGCTATTGCTCTGGCAGACACATACTTCCTCTTCTAATCTCCTACACTCCTGCAATATTTGAATTCTGGAATACAGGCCACTAAATACAAGACGAAACAAAAAGCCTCAAAAGTTATGCTTATAACTCCAAAATTTACTAGGTACACAAAGGTACATAATGCATACATAATGTGACTACAGCCACATAATTTTTCTCGGTTTGGGCACAACCCACCACTAGTGTGGAAAGGAAAGCCCCACACTCACTCGCTAATAACAACAACATTTGTTTATTTACTTATTTTAGACCACTTAATGTGTGTGTGTGTGTGTGTGTGTGTGTTGTATAGCAAAGAAAGCCAAGAGAGGACTCTGGAGGAGGAGTCAAAATGTGCAGGAGAGACTGACATGTGACCAAAGATGCAACAATGAGCTACAGATTTATTCTTTAAAATGTCAGAACTAAGAGTAACTTATACCACTATAAATGGTAAAGTCTGTAAGGCCCAAAGTCTCAGATGAAACTAAAACATGAAACCAATTAAAGCAACAATTCATAATAAATGCAAAATCTCCTCCTGTTTCAGGTGTGACATCCCAAATGTTGGGCTCCCAACTCCCAGTAGCCCAAGTCAGCATGGGATGATGACAGTCCAACCACATTTGAAGGTTCCTCATGCTGCCATACTTGATTGGCCTTAGTCATCAAAAGCCATCCTAAAAGAATGCTTTTAGAAAATGCTGGGGCTCAGATTTTGATGAGTGTCCAGGTGAAGGCAATTGCATGTTTGTAGATCATTTAGGAGGACTACTTTTTGACATGTGCACAGCATCCTGCTTTATTTGGTATAAAGATGGACAAATCTCCAGGATGGACAGGACGTGTTCACAATGGCAGAGTTTTTCTGCTTACGGCTTTCCTCAGATATGCTCTAATACTAATGAAGATAGTAAGATGTTCTACTTAATGGGTTGAATTCTATAGAATACAGTATCTAACCAGTTTCACAATCACACAGCATATAAATAGCTTAAGACCTCACGGGTAGATTTGAAACCCTTTGCTACAAATGGATGGCTTTTGCTCCTTTAGCAACATCATTAAATCTTTCTAAAAAAGAAAAACTGGTTACAACCTCACATTTTCCAATCTTAATTGTGTGTACACAATTGCACAATTTCCTACATGGGGGGAAATGTACATCACAACAATTGCCACATGTGGATGTGGTTTCTTGTTGTTGTTTTCTTATATTACAATCATTTCAATATAGGAAATCCACAGCTTGTGAAGTAGAATTTGGGATTAAGGGACAACAAGACTGGAATAAGTTACTCACCATTCTATTTACACAAGAATGGGCTGGTTATGATCTACTGGTATTTGTCTGAGAGATCTGAAGCAGATCAACAAGGATTTCTGGCTCCCACTTGTTTGAAAATGGCAACAACAAAATGGCTCCAATTTACTATTGAAATGGGGAGTGGAAGCTAGGAACTTAGAGTAGATTTCTCTGAGGAAGGACTGTGAGCTCAGTTCAGTACTGGAAAAAAAATTGGGGGCTCAAAAGTCTCTGTCTTTTGCACCAGGATTTGGTTGTTGGATCTCTAGGTTGTCATTAAAACAACAAAGAAAGCATTGATTCAACAAGTCTGAAGTCTGCCCTCTTCTTATTAATGCACCCCAGGAAGGAAGAGAGAAACCCGGCTGGGACACCAATGAAATTTCAGGAAGTGTTTGCCTCTAGGAAGGCTGCAGAGTGAAGACCACTGGGGATGTGATTTGCAGAATGAAAGAAAAGACACTCAGAAGCCTGTCGCAGTTGGCAGTGCCATGGTACTTACCTGACCTCCCAACCAATGGGTCACTACTGCTTACAGGGAGGGAGAGTCAGAGGGGCAAGGAGGTTGGTACTGCAACTTCTTAAAGCACATCAGTGGATGATTTTTTGTTTTAAAAAGTTGGAAGCTGCATTTAAGTTCTTTAAAAATCTAAGCTGCTCTGTTTTAACAAACCAGCAAATCAACCAGAGCTTTTCAGAATTCCACAGGCAGCATTATATATGGATGGAGTCATATAATCCCTTACCCACAGTCTGAAGAGACAGATTCTAGGAACAGTTTGCCTCCTTTAACTGCTGTTTGTGTGAACTAGACAAACACAGGAATACAAACATATAAGAGCAAAAGAGAGCTTAAGAAGAGGTTTGCACAGGATGTTTTAGAGCTAATTCCAAGTGACAATTAAACAGGATCCAGTGGGATTCACTTTAAGGCTTTTCCTTGTCTTTGTCAACAAAGAGAATGCAGTCCCAAATTAGTAATATTCAGCTTTTTCTCCTCTCTAACCAATTAGATGGAGGCAACATATTATCTGTATTACCTAATTACCTCTTCTCAGAAATTCGTAAGAATGGGAAAAAATCTGTTGCTTATTAGAGGGTCCATAGCATGAACCATTTTTGTGATGAAGCCTCTAGATATGAGCAAAAATGAAGAACGGATGTTTGAACTACATCACACATTTCCTCCCATGCGTCTATATGTTTGCGCCAGCAATCTGTAGTGTTGTTTCATTTGATTTGTTGGGCGGGGAGTGGGGAGGCAGGAGGCTGCAATCCTTCCGTATTGGAGATCAGGAGATTAATTTTTTAAAGAGAAGGATTGGAAAAAGCAGGCATTGGTAAAACATATGTTCCTTGAGCAGCTACAAATATGAGTATTTGACGTTATTGTTTTTCAATATGGAACTGGTTTAAAGCTTCAGACAGTTGCAGTTTTTAATGCATGGGTCATAATCAGCAGGGTAGAAACAGGGAAACAGAGCAGGATCACTTGTGAAAGGGGAAAACTTGGACAAATTATTACAATAATACTAGATCTTGTTAGAAATCGATGTAACAGTTTCTCCAAGGTGTCTGAATCAACCCTGATTTACTGCAGCCAAAGTCCTAGCCCATCATTAAGAGGACTCCATAAATCAGAAAGCCTTAGATTTAATCCCAGCATCACTATAAATGCCTTTAGAAGGAACTTGATTTGAGTTTTGATAGTTGGAATTGCTCATGTTTGGCTGATTCAGTGTTTCTTTCAACTAAGTTATCAGTGTTGTTTGCAAAGGAAAGTAAGAGGCCTCTTATCCAGTCTCAATAGGTTCACCACCACCACCACCACCAAGCCTTTAAAGACAAGGTGTGATGCACTCACTCACGGGACACACTCACCCTGCGGGAATGTCAGGATTGCAAATGTGCATTCCTTTGAGGTTGGTGGGCCTGCTCCCATCTGTGGAAGTGGCACTTGGTTCTAGGTCCACAGGTTCAGTCATCCTAACTGATTATTTATAAAAGCACCTAAGATATGATATGGTATAATTAGACAGCATCTGACAAAGCAAAGACATCACCTTGCCAACAAAGGTCCGTATAGTTAAAGCCATGGTTTTCCCAGTAGTGATGTATGGAAGTGAGAGCTGGACCATAAAGAAAGCTGATTGCCGAAGAATTGATGCTTTTGAATTATGGTCTGGAGGAGACTCTTGAGAGTCCCATGGACTGCAAGAAGATCAAACCTCTCCATTCTTAAGGAAATCTGCCCTAAGTGCTCACTGGAAGGACAGATTGTGAAGCTGAGGCTCCAATACTTTGGCCACCTCATGAGAAGAGAAGACTCCCTGGAAAAGACCCTGATGTTGGGAAAGTTGGAGGGCACAAGGAGAAGGGGATGACAGAGGACGAGATGGTTGGACAGTGTTCTCGAAGCTACGAACACGAGTTTGACAAAACTGCGGGAGGCAATGGAAGACAGGAGTGCCTGGCGTGCTCTGGCCCATGGAGTCACAAAGAGTCAGACATGACTAAACAACAACATAACTAGTTGTCAACATTAGTCACCTTTTGAAATCAGCTGCTTCAAATGAAAGCCCTATGAGGACCATAAAACAGTGCAGTCTATTGCAAAGATCAACTGATGGAAGTTGAAGGACTCTCAGCCACACATGAACACAACATAATGCTTTGCTTACTGAGGCTAGACCGTTGGGGTGAAGGGGACACTTGCCTGTCTATCAAACTGCAACAAGTACTGGCAATAGTGCATCTACATTTTGAGGACCCTGAAGCTTGAACTGATATGGGGCCCCTTCACAACGAGGTCTGGATAACCACTGTTTTCTTCTTCAGTGGGTTTGTTCCACGGCAAATCACCAATTATTTATTTTTAAAATAGGTGCTACATCTTACGATTTTGATTAAAATGGCTGTATTGGATTATCTCACATGTCCAAGTCACTGCGGTGAACAAAAAATTCCTATGCCTTATAGTTTTCAAGTTAGAGCTCAGCTGGTAGAGCATGGGACTCTTAATCTCGGAGTCGTAAGTTCGAGACCCACGTGGGGCGAAATATTCCTGCATTGCAGGAGGTTGGACTAGATGTTACTTGTGGTTCCTTCAAACTATTCTATGATTCTATGGTGAGGGAAGTAGGGAAATATTATATACATGCATGATGCACTTTTAAAATATATTTTTTTTAAGCAATGTGGACTAAGGTCACTTCTGGGGCCCTTCTGGGATCGGGGGCCCTGAAGCTTAAGATTCATTAAATGTTTAATAGTAGATCTACTCCTGAATGCTGGAGATGTTGCTGCCCGTCAGCTTCCTCATTTTTAGTCTCAGGCTGCATACACACTAACCCATTTGTAGGACATAAATGTAGTTTACCTCAATCTGGAGTTGGATGAAGATTGTCAAAACGTTCTTAAACCTCATAAGAAGATGTGGCATTAAAATAAATATTTGATAAGCAATATGGAGTTGTTGCCTGATATTAAGAAATTTGTTCATTACCATCTAGTAACTTGACTCAGTCTGTAAAGTGCAAAATATATCTAAGTATCACCAGCAAAAAAATATTTATCCCTCCTTGCCATGTTGTTGATGAAATTGTGCCGTGAGGGCAGGGGGAAGCAGGCTACCGCCATGGACTTTTAAAAAACAACAGTGGATGATTAACAGCAGTCTTTGTATTCTGCCTATACCCTTCACGTTGCCTTCCGATGCATAGCCAAACCGTCTGCTGTGTGTTTTGATAGTTGGATAATTGGGAGCACTCTTGGGTTGTGCGTACACCTGGTTTCCTCCCCGCCTGAAATTCATTTCTTCCCCATCGTACTGCCCCTCCTCCTCTCCTCCTGCTGCTCATATAATGGAGATCAGGAGTTGATGAATGAAACATTGGTGCCCAGTCTCTGCAGCAACCACTGAAGAGCACTCTAACAGAAGTGACACTCTGGTCTCCATGGATAAAATGCTGAAACCCTAGACCAGTTGTCCAAAGGGAATCCATCTGCAGCCATAAAAAAGAACTTGAAAGCAAGCCTGATATGAACAAAGACAGTCCTGTGTTCTTTTTCAAAAAAAACCCACCCGTTTCTTTTTTGATATTGATATAGCCATAGACGTACCATTTTATGATATGTGTGCACAGTAAAAAACACATACAAAATGTATAGAGGAAGAATCCCAGTACCCTTTGACTTCTCATGGTGAGAGATATTAACTTAAAAGAAAAGAAAAGGAAAAGTTGTCATTTTTTTTTAACAGACCAAGACAAAACATAATTTCAAACTCAAGACCAAAATGCACATCATGCTTGGCAAAATTCAGTGCTTCTGTGCAATGAACTTAGTACAGTATTTCAAATTAACTGCTAAGAAATTAAAGGGTAGAATCCTTTGGGAGCAATGTGGGAGCATAAGAAACACAAGAAACTGCCTTTTACTGAATCAGACCATTGATCTGCCTACCTCAGTACTGTCTACACCAGTATTTCCCAACCTTGGGTCTCCAGCTGTTTTTGGACTACAGTTCCCATCATCCCTGACCATTGGTCTTTCTAGCTAGGGATGATGGGAGCTGTAGTTAAAAAACAGCTGAAGAAGACCTCAATTTCCCCGATTTCTACCAAAAACTAAAAAGGCATTAAGATGCCTCCCTTTTGGCCCTCATTCTCCGTCAGTTCTATCTGAGTTGACTCCCATTCAGATAGCCAGCATTTATCATATTTAAAGTAGGCCCAATGAGTTATATCCAATGCTAGTCTTGCTAAGAATAGACCCATTAAGCCTGGTGGTCCTTAGCTGACCATGTCCATTAATGTTGGTGAGCCTACTCTGAGTAAGACTAGTATTGGCTATACATCCAGTTGAAATGAATGGACATGACTAACGGAGGTCTGTCAATTTCAGTGGGTCTGCTCTGGATAAGACTTAAGTGGGATACAACCCACTGTGTCTAACCCTAAATTATTACTGCTTCAGTTGGTGTTTGGAGCTCAGAGTATCACTCAACAAGCAGGCTGGACTTCTGCCCCAGGCTAAAAAGGAAAGGACCTTCCTTGTGCCGATCAAGCTGGAAAATCAGGACCATGTGTCCTGGCTTGCCCACTGACTTGTTTCAGGTCAACGACTCATGGAAAATGGCCATAATTGCCCATGAGCTGAAGATGCTCAACACTGATGTTGCCACTCTACAGAGTGGCCTCTAAATAAACATTTTAATAACTAGATTTCAAGGTTAAAAAATAAAAGAAACAAGACAGACTTTAAAACAGACATGATTGTTCTGATAAGATGAAAATATACTTAATGGCTACATGGTTATTTGCCATACTGTGTTGAGAAGTCTGTGCAGAAATAATTACAGTACAGTTTTCATAAATGCTAAGTAAGAAATCAGAATGTGCTTCCATTTAAAGGTTTTCATATGCAAATAGGTTGATTGCAAGATACATGCTTTAGCTTGTTAGTTTTTAGTCACAGCCTCACCTATATACCAGCGTATATGCAAATATTATTATTTCTATTGTCTTTGTTATTATTTATTGAATTTATATACTGCCCTATACCCGGAAGTCTCTCTGTTAAAATAATACACTTTTATATAGGGCCAGCCCCACCATGAGGTGGAGTGAAGCAGCTGCCTCAGATGGCCAATGCTGAGGGGCATGGAGTGGGCCATATGTGCTACATAGCCTGCCCTCAGGTGCTGTGGAGGATGTTATCCCAATGCCAGTGGTGAAGTGGTAAAGTGCCGTAGCTCAGTAGTAGAACCTCTGCTTTGCATTTGAAAGGTCCCTGGTTCAGTTCCTGGCATTGTTTGGTATGGCTGGGATAGGACCTTGTCTGAAATCCTGGATGAGTGTGTTACTCCCAAGTCCTACCTGGAGGTACTGATGGTTGCTCACTCCAAACACTCGAGGATCAGAAACACTCAAGGTTGTAATCCTGTGTGCAGTTAGGGCACACAGTTCCAATTGATTTCGTTCTAAATCATACACAGGTTAAGTGAGAAAAGAACCATTTTCACCGGAGTCTAAAGTCTTGCTTCTAGACTTAATACACAGGATGGTAATAAAAGCCCCTTGCAGTTTTGCCTGCAAAGGACCTCGAGTGATTTTATAGTATGTTTTATGGAACATGCTCTTGAACAACAAGCAAATGCCTACAAAAAGCGCACTGCTTTGGTTATAGACAAATAATCCATAAACCGATTAAGTGGGATATAATTGTGTAATGAATATTGGTGCATTTATGTAATATTAGAGCTCTGCCTATTCCATACACATACTCAAGCAAATCATTGACTTGTCTTCGTTGCAGCTACTTTTCCATCTCTGCTTTACTAAGGATGATTAGAACTGAAATGCCTTAGGTTTCCACTTTTTTTAAGAGAAACATTTACATATTCATAGAAGTCTCTTGGCGGCGGCTGTAAACAAAGAATTATGTTCAGGACTGCAGCTAGAAATAAGATATGTCAGAGGTCTATTACCCATTCAATCGAGAATCAGTAAATGGCCCAAGGGCACTTCCTTAAATGGGAAAGGGTAAAATAACTGAGGCTGAGGCCCCAAGTGTAGCTGGAACTCAATCACATTGTTGATTTAGAGTATACCAGGCATTTTTTGTAATTGTCAAAATTCATTTAGCTTCTCTGACATGAGCGGAATGGTCTGCGATCTCAAGATAAGGCATGCTTCCCCGCATCTTTCACTAGGCTACACAGACCTCAAAACTGCATGCAGCAAGCGGTAGTATAACCAGGGGCACATGCGTTTGGATTTCTGTTACAGTCGTACTACTCTGTTTATGCTACCAAAATACATCAATAAAGTGTTTACACTACCAAAATACATCAATGGAAGGAACTTCTTCTCATGGGCATAAGAGCAGGCCCAGATGTGAAGGAGGAGGGTCAAGCACTGCTAACAAAGCCCTTCACCTCGAGCCCCTTAAGGCCTGCCTTCTGATCTCAAAACAAATTTCTTGACGAGAAAGAAAAAATATATACCCTGACAGTGCCTTTATTCTCCAGACCAGGTCCTGCTCTACCATTCTTTCCTGAGGGGTTTAGGACACAAGAAGCTGACGTAAATGAAGCTGGTATAAGTTAAATTGGTGTAAAGTCATGCCACATCCAAACTCCATTCTGGAGCAAGGCTACTGCCAGATGAAGCAGCCCAAGGTTGTCAGAGGGAAAACAGGGCTTTGAAATTGAGGTCAGCTTACAATAATCTTTTTGCCAGTCCGTGTGACTGAGCTAGGCAGAGAAAATCGGTTCCCCAGCCCCGTCCTGCCCTTGCCATGCCCTCAGAATGCCTCTTTTTAAGGACTTGCAGTCCTTAAAAATCACAGAGTTGCTTGTGAAGCAAACGCTTCAGTGGCTCCACTCCTTCATTTTATGAGACAGCCAGCAAGTTCATGTTTCCTCTCCATTTAGTATAATTTCAGTAGTTTGATTGACTCGTGGTGCTTGTGGAAGATGGAGCAACTACCAACATTTTGATAATGCTTTTGATCTTCTGAGAGTCCTTCCTTGTTAAGGTAAAGCAGGAACCCAGTGAGACATTTATTCCGCTGATATGTCTAGCTCAGTGTTGGGGTAGCAATAGGCACTGCCATCTGCTTGTAATCTTGGCTGCACAAGGGGAGGATCAATTAATTGATCTATGATCATTGACTGTGGTGGATTTTCGAGTTTCATAACAAACTTCAGGTACCTCTTAATATGCTCTAATCTGCAATATTGTAATTACATTCAGATGACCAATGGTGAAATTTTGCATATTTGTCAGCTTTTCAATGCATACTTAGGTAAACAGGTAAGATTCCTGTTCTGCTAGTGACTGTAAAGAGGGTATGGTTGCTATTCCTTGTTAATCAATTTGCTTGTGGAGGTCCTGGGGAGGTGAACTTTTGAAAGTTGCTGAATTAGGTGACAGGTGTTCCAACTATTCCAGATGTGTTCCTTCATTTGTATGTCTTTCCTCTCAATGCATAGTTGGGTGTGCACTTCTGATTTATGTCAAATCTAAACAGCAAGAACAAAACCTTTCAG